TTATCAGTCAGAGTAAATATGTTCGTGATATGCTGAAAAAGTTTGATCTCTTTAACAGCTCATCTATGAAGACTCCTATATCTCTTCCACTCTCTCTTAACAAGGATCCAAATGGAAAGCCTATAAACGTAACTGTTTATAGAGGAATTATCGGCTCTCTGTTGTATCTTACAGCTAGTCGACCAGATATCATGTATTCTACTTGCTTATGTGCACGATATCAATCTGAACCTAAGGAATCCCATCTAATCGCTGTAAAACGCATTTTCAGATACCTGAAGGGAACTCCTAACTTGGGTCTTTTGTACCCTAAGGGTTCATGTTTTGACCTAATAGGTTATTCGGATAATGATTTTGCAGGTTGTAAGATCGATAAAAAGCACCACTGGAGGCTGTTAGCTTCTAGGTGGAAAGTTGGTGAGCTGGACAAGTAAGAAGCAAAACTTGGTGTCCACATCAATCGCTAAAGATGAATATGTAGCCGCTGGAAGTTGTTACGCCCAAGTCCTTTGGATGAAAAACCAGCTGAATAACTACAATTTTCAGTTCTCAAATATTCATATCTATTGTGATAGCAGTAGTGCTATTGCAATTGCAAACAACCCTGTATTTCACTCTAACACCAAACATATAGAGATCAGATATCATTTTATCAGAGATCATGTTATGAATGGTGACATTGAACTTCACTTTGTTCCCACTGATTACCAACTTGCTAACCTTTTCACCAAGCCTCTTGATGAGACAAGATTTAACATCTTGATCAGTGAACTTGGAATCCTAAACACTGAAGATTAATATCTTTCAGCTATACGCATCATTCAGTAAAGTGAAATGATTCAGTGCTCTCACTCTATCACTGAACTCTTGAGTAAATGTATCTATTTTCTCTAAGGTATGCATATTCGTTTTTCATTTTAAAACTTAAAACTATTACTGACGCTTTCCTTCTTTAGTGATCACAACGTTTTAAAAGTTTGTTCAAGTGATTCTTTCTAACGCTGAACAATTTATATAAGTTTATATCATTTCTACTTGTCTTTTCTTAAAATCAAAATGATCACTGAACCTTTCTACCTTCAGTGATTCAAAAGTTTTAAATGACAGTTTCAGTGATTCCCTTATCACTAACGCTTTTATGGAAATATATTCTTYTAAGATATTTTCCTTTCTTAAAACAAAACCATCACTAAAGCTTTTCTTCTTCAGTGATAAAATGTTTTAAAAGGTTTTTATTCAGTGATTCTCTTATCACTGAATGTGACTCTTTGAATTTCTTAAAATCTTTTCATTTTAAAAGAAATAGTTAATGAACCGTCTTTATGACGACATTCTCTGTTACCAATACGAATCGCCTTGAGACGCGCGTAAAAGTCTGACACACGCGACCTCCTCCAACTTCCATCCATTCATGGATGAGAACTTGCCATATTTTTCATCATGGCATTTTCTCAACAGTCGTATTTTCCTCACTCATATTTATTTTCTCTCTCCTCCAACCTATAAATATGAGATCTCTTCTCTCATATTTTCTTTACGCTTCCAAAATCTTTGACTAACCTCTGCCAAAAAGCAAGAACGCTTGAAACCTTTGACCTTTTTCTCTAACAACTCTAAGGTCGATACTTCTTATTTAACCATTTTGAATTGTTCTTCTTCTTCTAATGAAACTATTATTTGTTCTTTTAAGAACCTGTTTCTCTTAAAACACAAACAGTAAGATTAATAACACATTATTATTCTTGGTTATGATCTAAAGTTTCAAAAACACTATTTTTCTTGAAAAACCCTAATATCTTCTTTGTGGATTTTTCAAAAGAAGTTTTATTGTTTTAAGAACTTAAAAATATCACATTTAAATCTTGGACTACTAACATAAACTGTTATATCTTCTTTCTTAACGATAACAAAAAATGGCTGCCAAGAACGTGAGCTTCTTCGTTGAACATGTGTCTTTCAAGACTAACAACCACGTTGCCTTGTTGGACATTCCTACCAACAAAACCATTTACGAGGATGTTGATGCCTTCCTCAAGATGTCCCACATTGCCTAGGCTCTCACCCATGAACCTATCATGGTGAGGGAAGCC